CGGTAAAAATAAAAAGACGTGCATCATCCCGGACATAATGCAACACCACATGCGAAATTACACAGAAATGCGACGTACGGAAGAATGCGTTTTGGCTGCGAACATCTTCCAAAAAACTTGGCATCTCTTAACCATGGGCAAAAACATCTGGAACCACTTATAAAAACCACCCCGTATCTGCATGAACTTTTTTGAACCCCACTGCTATTCCAAACAACGCGTTTTTCTGGACCATTCCAATTCGCCTCGTAATTGTAGGGGTGCGTCTGCGATATTACATTGACCGCGAAAGCAGCAACGGCAAAAATACACATTCGTGCATCAACACGGGCATGCCCGCAGACGGCGTATAAAATTGCGTGCCGATTACACAAAGAGAACCCAGTGTTTTGACTGCGAACATGAAAAATCAGCCGATTACAACACTCCGTCCGGAGGTCCTGACCTCCTTCACGGAGTAATAAAAAGGAGTGAATCCTATCTAGCGATTCTAATTTTTAAGCGCACAACATAAATTTGCCTGGGCCTACAAAAATGTAATTGATTTTGGACCCCTGGTGGCTTTCCTCGTACTGTAGCAGAAATTCTGGATTCTTTCTAAGGCCACAGCAAGTAAATTTTATGGATGACATCCACGAGCGCATTAATTTTCGTCTGATTTTGGAAAAAAAACAAGAAATTTTGTTGCCTTCTGACAGTGGTCAACATGCCGAAAATGGGCAAAGATGTCTGTTGCCATGCCGGAAGGTGGATGGCAGATAACTAGGAAGAGAGGAGACAAGAAAAGGCTCTGATTTATTGTATGTTTCTTACTTTGATCATGGAGGTAGAAAATGGCCTTTTTTTCTACCTCCATGCTTTGATGCAGTGATATGTGATGCTGACTGTGTATATGTGATGTTCCTACTGAATCAAAACCATTTGTACAATGATTGAGTCAAAATTTCACATTGTAGGAACCTTTTTTTTTTTGGCCGGCCTTGTTTTTTTTTCGCCCGCTCGCATTAGATTTGGAGTCTGCGGAGGATATCATCTATAAAATTTACTAGCTGTGGCCTAAATTATATGTGTACGTATATGAAAAGAACAATTGTATCAAGAACGGAACAGATTAAACACAAAATCGTCGCCTGTGTTTTTTTAAAAACATCATACTTGTTCTTCTTTTATCCGAAACATTATTATCTAATTCCTATCTCATGTAACCAAAGCAAAATCTTAGTTACCACAGATGGTAGTATGTTGTTTAGGTGTTATTTTAATGTATAAGTTTGCAATTGTGTCTGTTTCTTTTGCAGGCGAGTGCAAGTACAACCTGAAGTCATACCCAGTGGGCGCCACAAGGACTACTGGTCCTAACTGCTGCGGAACATGGTACGTTTGGTTCCATTTCTTATCAACCGATTCATACATAACGTAAACGATATGATAACTTATATCAATCCGTCACCTCAGGTATCTAATCACCATCATAACAATATACTTTGATTTAGAGTAATTGCATATATTTTTCACTTCTGGCAGCTAATATAAAGTTTATGCTGACAGCATCTTATGTGATGGTATACTGATACTTTCTCTTAACTATATTTTCTTCAACGCTTTTTAACAGCACTTGCATGGCTGACTTCACCTGGGATTGTGATACAACAGACTGCGAGCAAGGTACAGTTCTTCTTCTTTTTCTCAAAGTTCATTCGAATCAAGGGTGGACTCTTGTCAGGTAGCTTACAATTACATCAATGAACATACAAATTTCTACAATCAATCGAATAATCAGTTATGACTTATGGTAAATGTCTCTATTATATTTTCATGTATTTTTGTTCTTTATCTTTAGCCACCTGCATGAACAACAAGGACTTCGTGAAGACGTTCGATGACAAGAGCTACACCGGAGACATCTGCAGCCACGTTCTGGCCAAGGATTGTGCCGGAGAGTCGTTCGAGGTCGAAGGTATACAAAACCTTTTCAACCTACTGAAACCCATCCATGAACAAAAGCTCTACCATTTGTACCCGATCAAAATTCGCCCAGAAAATCAACCAAATGATAAGGAAAAACTTTCCATTCCACTGAAATCCATCCAAGAATAGATGCTCTACCATTTTTAGTCGATACATTCGCTAGCAAATCAGCCACATGATAATGAAAAAAGAAACTGTCAACACTACCAATATACCTATATGTGTTCTAACTTTTGTGGTCCGTGGGGTATCGGTTTGCGGATGTGAATTATGCTTGTCTATCGACCACGTTCAAGAGAAGGGAAATATTGTACGATACGCATTTTAAAACTTGTGCCCTTGGTACAGGTAAGCCTTCTCCTGTAGTCCACTGACCCATGTGAACAATGTTTAACAATGGCATCTCTTATCCACAGTGAACCGCCGTCTGGACGGTACATGGCTGAAGGTCACGGTTGGATCTGACGTCTTCGTGCTGCGTGGCTCCGGTGAGAGCATCGACTACAACTCGAACGCCGTGGCACCTAGCCAGTTCTCCTCCCTGTCCAACGGCCTGTCTGGAGTCACTGTGTCCGCCCCTGGTAAGAACACTGTGCTATCTGTAAGGGTACTAATTGAAGGCACGCTTGCTCATCTATATGTTTTTTTGCTTGTATTTCAAGTATCAAAAGCGTACACAATTTTGATACATCGTTTACTGCTGCATTATCATTCTTATCAGTGAGTACGATTCTTTATAGCTTTCTAAAAAATTTTTGCTACATCTTAAACAGACAACCTAACTCATCTAGCTTGGCCTACACCAACAGAATAGAAATGTGCGATGATCATTGTCAGAACTTTTATCGAAGGATATGTTTGAAAACATGTTGTTTGCCCTACACAGGTAACCAGTATGTGATCACTGCTGACATCGGTCTGACTGTGTACTGGTGCGGCCAGGAGGCCCGTATTGTTGTTGACCAGAGGATGCTGGGCAAGACTTGCGGTCTGTGCGGCGTGTACAACAACAAGCCAAAGTAAGCTCACATTTCTTCTCTAGGCGCTGTTGTTTACAGAATATTTTCCAGCTAGCAAGTTGATAAGGGGTAAAATATACAAGATCAGCGGTAAAATATACAAGATCAGTCGGTCCAAGATGCTGCATCAGTGTATGCTGCCTTTAAAAGACCTCACATTAACTTGAGCAATCCATGAAGTTGTTAAGTACAAAAGACGTTAAAAATACACTGTTTTTGCAGGGATGACTTCACTTCAAGCAGCAACATGGTGGTTACAAACGTGGGTACGTTCATGAACAGCTGGATTGCCGACACGGCTGCCACATGTGAGGCACCGAAGACGTGCCTGGCTGACTCTGACCGTGCCAACAAGGCCGCCAAGCTCTGCAAGGACCTTATTGACGGGTACGTTTCCTAAATCAGACACAAACAGTGTAATATCCCTATCTTATAGCTTCAATGTGGCCGGGACTGCCGTGCGAAGACAGGACTTATTAGCCACACTAGACGCCGAACACGGCCAGAACAAAAGACCTAAAGTGCTACTACCATCTTTCGAGATGGAAGGATGCCTACAACTACTATTGAAGAATAACTTGACCGTATGAAAGATCAGTCACGTCATGAAAGCTCGATCCACGATTTCACATGTCTGTGCTTGACAAGATACGGTGTCAACCCTGAAAGCTTTCAATGAATTATCGTTGTGTATAAAGGTTAAAACATGTAATCAAAGGAGTTTTATCAGTACACACAGAGCTTACGTTTGACTTTTTGTGATCGTTACTTTAGCTCTGGAGCCTTCTCCTTCTGTCACGGCACCGAGCCAGTGGACAGTTACTACCAGATGTGTCTGGAAGACGTCTGCGCATGCCTGGAGAAGGGAGAGTCCGGTGAAGAGTGCAGATGCTGCTCTATGACGTCATATGCTACCAGCTGTAGGGACGCCGGCGTCAGATTGGACTGGAGGACACCAAAGCGTTGTCGTAAGTTTGTTGTGCTTAGAGCGAAAGTTACCCACCTAGAAGTGTCCAGCCACAAAGATAAAAGGAGCATAAATAGGGTCTTAAACAAACAATCAAGGTAGCTTTTCAGAGAACTTACTGAAGTAACATATCGTTTCAATGTTCAGTTTTTCACAGGATAAAAATTTCTTACGCTTACATCTTTTGTGTTAATCGTAGCTGGCAAGTGCGAGTACCCGATGGTCTGGCGTGAGGACGGTCCTGGCTGCCCGACGACTTGTGAGAACATGATGGACGAGGTGACTGATTGTAGTGTGAAGCCGGTGTCTGGCTGCTTCTGCCCGGGCAACATGGTCATGAAGAACGGAAAGTGTGTCGCTCCAGAGGAGTGTACTAACTGTAAGTATAAGATTGCAAGTATTTGTAAGTAGAAATATACTATGTTAAATGCTGCCGCCTTCCCTGTATAACATTAATGTACCACATAACACTATACTATGTAGCTACTATTTCAGGATAAATTGATCTTCATAGCCTTTGTGTTTTCCTGCTGCTTGCTTGTTTGTTTGTTTGTTTGTTTGTTTGTTTGTTTGACAAAGATAGTTTACATCATTCAAAGTTCTATTAAGTTTTCCGATGGCACGACACGTTGTGATTGACACTTTCGTTATTTGATCTCAGGCTTCTGCTATGGCTTCAACGCTCCTCACTACCACACGTTCGACGGCAAGTTCTTCAACTACCAGTCCAACTGCAGCTACGTGCTGGCCCGCGGCTCCACCAACATGCACGGCTTCGAGGTGGTGCAGGACCGCCAGGTCTGCAAGAAGACCGCCGGAGCCAACTGCAAGGAGGCCATCACTGTGCTGTACGACGGTACCGAGGTGGTGCTGATGGACAACCTGAAGGTAGGGACTCCTCAGAACCTTTCTAAATGTTTGTCTTACTTGTAGAAGTAGAAATTCCCTTTCCTGTAGCGCATTTACACATGTACATCGGTTACATTACTTCTCTATCTCAACAAAAAGTATATACCAGCAAATCTTGTGTAGATCACTGCAAAAAAATCTATTTTTCAAACACGCCTTAAAGCATACGTAAAGGTGCCTTCACGCATGGATTAAGGTATGCTTAAAGATAAGATTTCGTGCAGTGGATGTTCCGATAAATTGATACTAATCAATTTGGGAATGGGACGCCTTGCCTCTACGTCCTCCTTGTAAAAATAATCTGGTCTTAGTCGTGCTAAATGTGTAAAAAAAGACTGTCGTAACACGCATGTTTCCATTCTGACGTACAGGTTATGGTGAACGGCGCCATGGCTGGTATCCCAGTCACCGTGGGTGATCTGGTGGTGGAACGTTCGGGTCAGACCCTGTCTGTCCGTGCCGACACCATCAACCTGCGTGTGGAGTACTCCGTCACCAACCACGGATTCGCCATCAACGTGCCCATCAGCGACTTCTACGACGGAACCGAGGGTCTCTGTGGTACGTTAAGCCTTAGAGACCTCAATACATAATCTCTTCTACTTTCAGCAGCTACCACTAAAATGTTTTCGTAGGGTTTTTACTCCCACATTTCTTCTTCTAGACCCCCCAAAAAAATTTAATTGGCAAGGATAATAGCCATGTATGTACTTGGATCTACAACTGCCTTTTAAGAAGCGAGAAGAAGTTGAACCTGTAAATAGTAGTATGTATCGTTTAAGATAGTACTGTAATTTTTACCTATGCTCTATTCACGACCTTTACTTAGCTTGTAAGAACATAAACGTACAATAAAGGTATTTCATTCATTCGATAAAGGTTCTATTGTATGCCTGAAACGTCGTTGTAACACACCGTAAGGTATATATATTGTAACGCTCTATCTTCTCTATACAGGCCGCTGTAACAACGACTTGGAAGACGACTTCTGCAAGAGCACCGGTGACGTGGCTACCTCGGCCATGCGCTTCGCCTATGACTGGAAGAAGTCGGGAGAGGTCTGCTGGGAGATCGCCCCGACCCTGCCGCCTGTCGTGCCGCCAGAGTGTCCGGAGTGTGACGTCATCTACGGAGAAGTCTTCGTTGGCTGTCACCATCTTGTGGACCCGACTCCGTTCCATGATGTAAGTACCTTCTTTTCCGTCTTCGTCTGTAGTTCTGTTCTTTCCGCTCTTCCCAGTAAGTTTATGCCAACTGTATCTAGCTGTATGCCAGTTGTAATGCTAAGGTTACAATTTCCAACCCGGTGCCCGGTCGGCCAGTTTGCAGGAACGAAAAGTACGACATAAAAGACGACAAAACACAAAAAATAAAGTTGAACATAACTGATCATGGGTGTAACGTTATGTGCTTGAAATGAATTATTTTTCGTTCACGCAAACAGTCCGGTCTGGCCCTGATTTGGAAATGTGACATTGACAATGTCGTGACATTTTTACAACATCATGATCGTTTTCTGTCATGTTATCCTCTAGGCCTGTCGCTTCGATGTGGAGACTATGGACAAGAGCTTCAACAAGGAGTGCGACGCCCTGGCTACCTACGCCCACATGTGCGCTATCGCCGGTGTCTGCCTCGACTGGCGCTCCGGAAGCCTGTGCCCGATGATGTGCAAGCCAGGCACGAAGTACACCGAGTGTGGACCTGACCACGAGCGCACCTGTGACAACCACGAGACAGTCAAGGCTATCAAGGGCGCTACCGCTGGCTGCTTCTGTTCTGGTGACGAGGTCATGCTCAACGGCAAGTGTGTCGCTGTGGAGGAATGCCGTAAGTGTTCTTTCCATTTCTCTAAGAAAATACATGACACCATACCTACCTAGGACATTTATGTAGGACCTGAAAGCCATATGCTTAGGAAGTAGTCATTTGAAAACGTATAGAAAAATACTAGCGTACCATAACACAATAGAACCGCCAGTTTCCCCTCAATAGCTAACATCTTCTGGTGTATTTTCAGTTGCTTGTACGTCTATTTTCGAGACTAATCGAAGCCTATTTCTTACAGCGGTGTGTGTCGACAAGGACGGCAACGGCTACCAGTTGGGTGAAACCTGGAACAACGGAGTATGTACTTCATGCCAGTGTCTGGCTGAGGGCTCTATCTACTGCACACACAAGGAATGTATGAAGGTCGAACTGAACTGCGATGTTGGCGAAACATTGGAAGTCACTGTCGAGGACGAATGCTGCCCACAGAAGGAATGCGTCTGTCACCCGGAGAACTGCCCAGTTACTCCGACATGCGAGCCTGGCTATGAAACCAAGAAGGTCGAGTCTAAGTACGCCACATGTTGCGAGGAGTACAAGTGCGGTGAGTATTTTTGTTATTTCTCAAAGATTTACAAAAAGCAATATAATTGCATTGAAACAAATCCTTATGATTATGTCACAAAGACATTTTCGTATGTGAACAATGCATCCCCACTCTACCCACTGAACAACTATTAAACAAGTTATTAAAACAACATATCTTGGCACACTACAGTCAAGATCAAGCGCGAGAACGAGTGTGTGTTGGCCGACAAGGTGTACAACGTTGGTGAGACCTGGTATCACAACGACGACAAGTGCAGCAAGTGCGAGTGTGTGAAGGGCGACGACGGCTCCGCCTTCGAGAGCTGCTTCAGCACGTTCTGCAAGCCTGTGGACGAGACCTGCCCGCCGGAGTTCGTCAAGTACGACGAGGATGGCTGCTGCCAGTATTGTGACATGCCACGTGAGTATCCTTCTTCTTTTCTATATAATATAGTATTGTTAGCAATAGCCACAGAATGGGAACAGTTGGCTAAATCTGCGGCTAATCAATATCTCACAGCTGTCAAGTGTCCTCATTTAAGCTAAGTAGATGTCGATGGACCCTGACTTAAGCTAAGGTCCCAATTACGCCGGTGCCCGTCGGTGATGTAGCCCCGGCTGGCCCCGGCCGGGTTCAGGAGTCGAGCGGGCATCGGCTGTCGTGGTCACAATTAAAAGTTTCCTTCAGTAGCATTTTGTTTGAAATTGTGTCACCCTCTTTGGTCGGTATCCGGCAGGCACCCGGCAGGTACCCAGCAGATTCTCTGACGATGTCTTGTATTGACCTATACGTAATGCAGAATTCACGTATTTGTTGTGATCATTTGATCTGTGAGGTCACACATTTTACCCGGGTTTACGAAGTACACACCTTTATTTTGTTCATCTGGTCTGTGACGTAAGAAATGTGTCCCGGTGGAATTCCGGCAACCGGAGGGGTACCTCTCGGTGTTCTCACGATGAGGTCACGGCGCCTTTTTGTCAGCGGGGCCCGGGTAGAATTTAACTCAGAATTAAATTCTTATCGGGGCCCCGACGGGCCAAAAAATAGCCCGGTAGACGCAGGGTGCCCCGCGGGGCCACGTCGGGGTCCCGCCCGAAAGTGGTAAAAAACAGCCCAGGAACTACCCGCCAGGGCCCCTTTTCCCAATTGGGACCTTAGCTTTAAAAGGGCTGCAGGCCGCTGTTTTGATGGTGCCAACAACGGTGTCTGGGGGTCTCTTGTAAAGACAGTTTATTTCTGCCCCCTGTCGTGTTTATCTAGAACTGCAGCTTCTGTTGAGTGATTATGATGACATATTTGACGCTTCTAACTTCTCTCATTCTGACATTTTGTTTTGTTTTATTTTCACCTGTGCAGGTGTTGCAGGCTGCTCTGTCCAATCGGAAGTCAAGTACATGTACATGCGCAAGCGTCAGTACAAGAACGGCGAGCCAACTGGTGTGGTCATCGACTGCCAATCGTCCACTCAGGTATGTTTCACACCTCTGTAAATATTTACAAAGACTAATTTATGGGAAAATACATAAGTGTTCTAGGGTGACTTGAAACAGTGGTACAGACGTTTTAACAACTCAAACGTGTATGGTAAAATTATATCTCTACAAATCTGTTGTTATTTTCACCACTGCATTTTGTGTTACGATTGAAACTTAATGTGGTTTCTCTTTATTTTATCTCGTAGATCAACTTGGCTACCTGCGAGGGTGTGTGCCAGTCCAAGTCTATCTACAGCCTCTACAGTAACAGTTACGAGAAGAGTTGTAACTGCTGTACCGCCAGCGAGACCAAGGATATCGAGGTAAGGATCCATTATCCACAGCTTACAGTTGAAAGTATATTTAATCTCCAAGCAGATCCTTCGCTGGCTGCAAACAGGTAGCATCCAATACGCCACCCAAGCAAATGGTACATTGGATGGCCAATTTGATCGTCCCCTGCCCCCGACTTGATGAAACATGGCGTTTATACTATGAAGCAAAAGTAGCATAAGTCTTACCTTCTATTTTTCCTTAGTGAATCTTTATTGCATATTCCTGCCTTAGATGGGCTAAATGTACCATGTGTGGTCTAGGGAATATAAAACATGGAGTATAAATAAATACTGAAATGCTACATTTTCTGTGACAGCCACGGACGACTTTATCAGAGTAATAGACCTGTTGCCATGAAAAATTACAATTCACTAAACCTGCTGTATTTTTACCCTACAGGTCCAATTTGGCTGTGGAGACGGCTCCACCATCAAGCGCAAGTTCGCCATCGCCACCGCCTGTACTTGTGAGGAGACCGACTGCAAACCCGAACAGTAACTCCCGACCCGACCCGACCGCTCTAACACGGACAACGACTACGGAATCTTTAGTCTAGATTTCCTTATCGGCAGTAGGTTATAGAAACCGATCCAACCACGAGGCCTACCATAAAGAGAAGGATAACACACCTGACTGAATGGCCAACATTATTGACGACAACTTCTTATGAAGTAAAGTAGGAGTAGTTAGGAGACCTCTCAGACCATCGAGAGGGGGTTGATAGGTGGGGATTGGCGGGAGGGCCGTCGTGGTAACTGAAGGTGCTGGTGTGATCGTGTAAAATGGACTTAACGGATTGTTGCCTGTCTGTACCAAACGTGGTTTCTAGTCGTTACGTAAAAAAATGCGGGATTCTTGATATAACATCTGACGTAGCGGCTGGTATCGCAATGGTGCATTTATAAAAAAAAGTCTATGAATGTTTGTGTGTTGTGTTGTGTGTCTAGAGCTAGTAATGTGTGTTTGCCGATAAGGAAATGAAGCAATAAAATTCACAAAATGTGATTAATCTTGTCTTTTTGTGTTTTTGCGTGAAATCCTTGTTGTTTATTAGATATTGTTCATTCTCAAGCATCTTTGATCGCATGCACACACACGAAGGTATCACAGTTCGAACTAGAAAGGCCGACATTTGCTTTGGAGCAAATACAGCAATGGCTTCACCACATTTTACGACATGGCAGGGAAAGAATGAGAAACACAAGGGAAAACAATGCTTTACATTGATATAACTATAGTATGAAGTAACATACAACTAAGACTACAACAGTTGGATAGCTATTCCCTACATTATTGGTTAGGATTTTTAATTGCATAATGCAAACTGTTGATTTTCAAGAAAAAAGAAGCGTTCATGCCCCGCATTCCAATGCTGGAGCAGGAAAGCTTAAAATACCTACCAAAACACTTGAATACAGACCTACTGTCAGTATGGAATGGCTCTGTGCAGGTATTAATTAAGTTAAGCCTGTTAAATTCCAACAGCCAATCAGCAAGGAGAATAGAGGAAAGCTGCATGCCTATTGGTTGATGCCCTGCATTCCATTGTGATGACTCATGCCCAAATGTGGTAACACTGCAGTAGTAAGGAGGGTAGTCTGGATCAATTTATGCAAATTTATGCAAATTTATGCAAATTTATTCATAGATGCAAATTTATGCGGGTGCGCGGGAAATTTGAATTTTATGCAAATTTATGCAAGTTTTTGGTAATTTATGCAAATTTATGCAAATTTTGTAATTTTAATGACTGCGTTGATTTATTAATAACTGAAATATTAATGTGCAATTATGAATTAATTTATGTATATCTTAATATGATATATTATGAGGGTGTCATGACGTCAATGGATGGAGGTCAGATAAAGGTCAATGTGCACTTTTGAACCCGGTTACCTGGGAAACCTGTTGTCACGGCAACGATTTTTGAAGGATGACACCACGCCTACCGATATTGTTACTGTGACAGTAAGCTATTCAACATGACAGCGGGACCGTCGGGATTGCATCGTGAAGTGGGGGGCGTGGTTAAAGTCAACGTCTGTAGTAGCTGATTGGCCGCAAGGTCGTAATTTGTGGATCCGAAGTAGTCGATTGGCGTGCATGTACTTTGCATGTGAAGTAGGTGACGTACTTCACGGCGATTGGTGGAAGGTCTGCGAGTCACGATTGGTCAGAAACCTGTATAAAGTGGCAGCAGAAACTGGCTAGAAACCAGTCCCTCTTGCGGAGACAAAACTGCGTCGAAGTCGGTCGGTAGCGAACAAAAATAGAGCCTGAAATGCCATGGCACATCAGGAGAAAAAGCAGCAGCAGAAGCGCAAGTCTTCACTGGTGTGTGTGTTTGTGTGTCTGCATCTATTTATACATATATCGATATAAATGTGTTGCTTCCGGAGTAAAATATTACTCCGGAGTTAAGTATTTTTTGGAGTAAGATATTACTCCGGAGTAACTTTATTACTCCGGAGTAACTATTACTCCGTTTTTGGAGTAAAACTTTTTACTCCGGAGTAAGTTTATTTGTAGCAAGTAGCAAGTTTATTTGTCATGCATGGTTGTCCGTATCGTGTATTGTCACATGCATGATGTAAAGATATATATATATCGTATATGCATATACATAACAGTCGGAGTATGTGTGTGTGTGTGTGTGTGTGTGTGTGTGTGTGTGTGTGTGTGCGTGCGTGCGTGTCTGCGTGTCTGCATCTATTTATACATATATCGATATAAACGTGTTGCTCCGGAGTAAAATATTACTCCGGAGTAACTATTTTTGGAGTAAGATATTACTCCGGAGTAACTATATTTCTCCGGAGCCGTTTTTTGGAGTAAAACTTTTACTCCGGAGTAAGTTTATTTGTAGCAAGTAGCATGTATATTTGTCATGGATTTCCGTATCGTGTATCCTCACATGTATGATCATGATGTGTAGATATATCGTATATTATCCATATACCTAACCGTCGGAGTGGGCGCGCGCGCGCGCGCGCGTGTGTGTCTGTGTGTGTATGTGTGTGTGCGTGTGTGTGTGTGTGTGTGTGTGTGTGTGCATCCACATATACACATATCGATATAAACGTGTTGCTCCGGAGTAAAATATTACTCCGGAGTAAGTATTTTTGGAGTAAAATATTACTCCGGAGTAACTATTACTCCGTTTTGGAGTAAAAATTTTACTCCGGAGTAAGTTCATTTGTAGCAAGTTAAGTATATTTGGCATGGTTGTCCGTATCATGTATTCTCACATGTATGATATCGATGTGTAGATATATCGTATATGCATATACATAACCGTCGGAGTAAATGATTACTCCGGAGTAAGTGAACTAGTGGTTCATATCTATGTCACGTATGTCTGTGTCTCATGCGTGCATACATCGACACAACGACGCAAAAGGCAGTAGGGTTCGTCACACTTTATTGATCACTTACAGGTCAAGACTGTTCCGAAAAACTCGCAAGACAGCGTACGTCTTGTCATGTAGGTATCGCTGTTACATTAGGACTAGTTGTCCTATCGGCAGAAGGACGATGCTGTATTATTTCAGAACGAGGTAGCCGTATTTTGTCATCAATTTCTGCTCTGGGACCCAGTTCTTGCTGTACTCGATATTGTAACCGTAACGAGGCATGGCAGCAAACTCTACAAGATAAAACTTTTTGCCAGCGCGTTTTGTCTCTTTGATCACGCGTTGAGGGACATCGCCTGGTTCGTGCTTGAGTGGAATGGACCAGTCTCGATAGAGCGTCCACTCTTCCTCGTCACCGCTGTCGTAGCCGTACTCTTCACTTTCACCATAAGAAGCCGTGTTGGAAGAAACGTCCGAGTCTGCATCACTCTCAGAATCACTTTCATCGCTGTCGGTTTCTGTCACTGACTCTGCCTCCTCAGAGTCCACCACAGATTCATCTTCGTCTGAGACGGTTACTTCATCTTGTGACACGGTCGGTTCCTCGTCCTCTTCGTCTTCCTCATCGACTGATGAATCAAGCGCGTCAGTGTCATGTTCATACGATATGTCGGAGTCGGAGTCAAAAACATCGCGCTTTCGGTAAGATCCTGTCTCGGGATCTACGACGACTTCCCCCGAGGCAACAGCAGACTCGTCTCGGTGTTTTCTTTCCTGGTGACGATCAAGGTTAAACTTACGAGCAAACTCTTTGTCACAGATTTCGCAGACGAAAGACATGCTTCCTTTCTCTTTCTTGGGCAAGGGAGAAATGAGGCGAGGTTTATGTGCACATGAAATATACCACGATACTTTCCAAGTCATTTTAAACAATATCAATATCCATGCAAATGTGATATGTGTTATGTATGAAGTTTCCTGTGTAAGTGTATGTACGTATATTATGTTTATGTATGTAGAGTCCGCCTACATATATATGCTACAATATGCACCATTTGCTATAAATACACTTACTCCGGAGTAATACTTTACCCCCGAAACGGAGTATTTTCTTACTCCGAAACGGAGCGATCTTTACTCCGGAATAATATTTTACTCCGGAGCAACACACTCACTCACACACACACACACACACAAAAAAAAAGAGATAGATAGATAGATAGATAGATAGATAGATAGATAGATAGATAGATAGATAGATAGATACACATAGACGTCACGTTATCTGGTATCTCTTTTTGTCTCNGTTGTTTGTTGTGTGTGTGTGTGTGTGTGTGTGTGTGTGTGAGTGAGTGTGTTGCTCCGGAGTAAAATATTATTCCGGAGTAAAGATCGCTCCGTTTCGGAGTAAGAAAATACTCCGTTTCGGGGGTAAAGTATTACTCCGGAGTAAGTGTATTTGTAGCAAATGGTGCATATTGTAGCATATATATGTAGGCGGACTCTACATACATAAACATAATGTACGTACATACACTTACACAGGAAACTTCATACATAACACATATCACATTTGCATGGATATTGATATTGTTTAAAATGACTTGGAAAGTATCGTGGTATATTTCATGTGCACATAAACCTCGCCTCATTTCTCCCTTGCCCAAGAAAGAGAAAGGAAGCATGTCTTTCGTCTGCGAAATCTGTGACAAAGAGTTTGCTCGTAAGTTTAACCTTGATCGTCACCAGGAAAGAAAACACCGAGACGAGTCTGCTGTTGCCTCGGGGGAAGTCGTCGTAGATCCCGAGACAGGATCTTACCGAAAGCGCGATGTTTTTGACTCCGACTCCGGCATATCGTATGAACATGACACTGACGCGCTTGATTCATCAGTCGATGAGGAAGACGAAGAGGACGAGGAACCGACCGTGTCACAAGATGAAGTAACCGTCTCAGACGAAGATGAATCTGTGGTGGACTCTGAGGAGGCAGAGTCAGTGACAGAAACCGACAGCGATGAAAGTGATTCTGAGAGTGATGCAGACTCGGACGTTTCTTCCAACACGGCTTCTTATGGTGAAAGTGAAGAGTACGGCTACGACAGCGGTGATGAGGAAGAGTGGACGCTCTATCGAGACTGGTCCATTCCACTCAAGCACGAACCAGGCGATGTCCCTCAACGCGTGATCAAAGAGACAAAACGCGCTGGCAAAAAGTTTTATCTTGTAGAGTTTGCTGCCATGCCTCGTTACGGTTACAATATCGAGTACATCAAGAACTGGGTCCCAGAGCAGAAATTGATGACAAAATACGGCTACCTCGTTCTGAAATAATACAGCATCGTCCTTCTGCCGATAGGACAACTAGTCCTAATGTAACAGCGATACCTACATGACAAGACGTACGCTGTCTTGCGAGTTTTTCGGAACAGTCTTGACCTGTAAGTGATCAATAAAGTGTGACGAACCCTACTGCCTTTTGCGTCGTTGTGTCAATGTATGCACGCATGAGACACAGACATACGTGACATAGATATGAACCACTAGTTCACTTACTCCGGAGTAATCATTTACTCCGACGGTTATGTATATGCATATACGATATATCTACACATCGATATCATACATGTGAGAATACATGATACGGACAAC